CTTTTCTTTTTTTTCCAGGTTCGGAATTTTACACTCAGGAGAGAGGTAGGCAATGATAGTTTTTTTCACATACAAATTTAAAATTAGTAATTTAACTAATTCCTCAGTTGCTGGTGTGTATTCATAATGGATCTTATCTGGATTTGCTGTACTACAGCTCAGTATGAAATCTGGACATGTAAAAAAAAAAGGTATTACTTGGTGGTGTCTCTTGGTATAGTGTTTAAATGAGAGATGTGCTGCTCATACTTTAATAAATGTTAAATACTTTAATAAATGTTTTGGTGAAATTTTTCGTAGTTTGCTTTACTGAGGTATACAAGAGAATAGGTGGGAGAGGAAATTTAATTACTAGTGTTTTGTTTTGGTCTTTAAAAAACCCTCTCAAGCAAGGAGGTAAGATAAAATTACAGAATATGAGTTAAGGGCACTCTCTTTTGCTCTTTTTCTGGCAAAAGAAAAGATCACGTCTGAGCAGAGTACAGAACTTGCATTCTGAAAGGAATGCATTTACTTTTTACATTATCATCTTGCTGACTTCCAGCACGTACACTCCGCATACTTCCTTTTTCCCATCAGTAGGAAGAAACGTTTACTTCTTGTTGTCATGTAGTCTATTCACATGCAAAAGAATTTACAATTTTTGCATTGGTTTTATGCCCAAAGCTCTCTCTAGCAAGGACAATTTATAAATGACTGGTACGTGTATATGGCAAGGGACTTCTTCAGATGCAGGAAAGTTTTCCTGTTCTAGTAGCAAATTTCTAATACAAATCCTGGTTGAAATGGCCATACTCAAAGGATGTAAGTTCTAAAGGAACGAAAAGTGAATGAACTCGTAAATCTTTCTCTATACTTGTTCATCTAGCTATGTGAATAACAAGATTAATTATACCAGGATTCTAGTAATTATAAAATTTTAAGCTACAAATTATTTATCATTGCTGTGATTATAAACACAGAAACACTATAAATGTATTAATGCTATTATAGTCTTTATTTCTTAAGGTGCTTATAATTTTTTAATAGGAATATTGTATTCTGTATATTTCTTCAGGGACTAACATATCTAAATTCCAAATTAATTACAAGTGTTGCTTCTGCATATGATTCTGTATTTGAATTAATCAGGGTATGATTGCTAAGGTCTCTTTAGAGTATGATTACTGGACTGCCAACAATGTAGAATTAGGCATGTACATGTTTGCTTGCAGAACTGGAACCCAAATATCTTCTTTAAGATTATCCCAAGCTTGTGAGTGACACGTTTAAAATGGAATTTCCTGAATGATATAACCCTAACCTTACTTTCAGATAAAAAGCACTGGGGTAACTCCAGGGATTTCTGCTAATTGGTGATGAATTGGCTTGGGGTTTAATACAACTCTAAGCAGGGTTTTACTGTATTTTTTCAGTTTATTCAGACAAGTATAAATACAAAATTTTGTTCACCTCTTAGATCTCCTGCGTTGAAGACAACAAACCATAAGAAATAAGGAAAACCAAGAAGTAGCTGCAAACCTATTTGAGTCCTTTGTGTCTTCTAGGGAATTTGGCCATTAGTATGGCGAAATCAATGATACTTTCAGTCCTCCAAGGCAAAGACTGAGCAGATAGGCAGTGTGTGCTGTGACAGTCAGTAGTTGCCTCTAGTGTATCTGTGCAGTGGAAGGTAAAGCTACTATCACTGTCAACATCTGTGAGATCTGACCACAAAAATTGTAACACCTGCTACTAGGGTACAATGAATTAATTTTTGTGATGAAAATATAGCAGTTTGAGGTAATAGTATTATGTTGGACTAATTGAAAATAAATATAACTTTCTTTTTTATTTTTTCTGTCAGTTTTTACTTTCAACACCGTTGAAATCAACGTTCAGCCATCTGTTCAAGTAAGGAATGGAGATCCTATGTCAATTGTCTGCCATGCTGATATTAGCAAGAGTACTGATTTCCAGCTGAAGCATAATTTTACAATTTTTAAAGATGGCAAGCTTGTGTTCATGACTGTATCAGACAAAGGAGATGCACAATATGAAGTATCTATGGCTAGATCTTCAGATACAGGAGATTATGAATGTACTGTGGAAGCAGGCGGAAAGACAAAGTCTAGTAACTCCTTACATGTTTGGGTAACGGGTGAGTATTCCTTCAATAACAGCAGTTTTCTAAAATACAAAAAGAAAAACCTTCCAGGGGAAGTAATAATAGTCAGTGCTAAACAGAATATCTTGCAAAGTGTTTTTATCCATAGACATCACAGTGCTTTACAAGACTTGAGTACTAAATCCTAATGTTAAGGCACAGAAATGAAATCACAATCCCAAGGCTTACATGGCAGATCAGTGACAGTCAGGAATACAATCTGCGCCTCCTGTGCCACCATCCCCTCTGTCCCAAGCCTCTGTTCCTTAGAGTAGAGAAAGTATTATTTGTGAAAGCTTGTGTCTATAGATCATAAACATGATAGGAGGCAGGTAGATTACTGGAAAAACTGGAAATAATGTATAGAGATTCTCAACTTGTGACAGCCGTTGCCAAAGCTAGTATCAACTGTGGACTACTTTTTTAGACAATCTTATATCAGTCTTGTTCTTTTATCTCTTATGCGAACAGGGGCCACCTCCATCTATACTCTTTCTAGCCATGTGTTATTGACTGCAGGTGACATTTTTCCCCTTGGAAAAGCAACCTGGAAAGAATTTGTTCAGCATTAAATAGTTACAGGGTTACGCAGGGCCTGTAATATTTGTGCAGTGGCCTGCACCTCTAGGTACAGAAGTTGGGACGGCATTTACTTTCTTCACTTCCTCATTTCTCAGTGGCAATAGGAGACACCTTCAAAACAGCAAGTGTCATACTTCGCACATTGCATCAAGAATGTATTACCCTCTCAACGGACGTTTTGTTCTGCTGAAGGTGCCTTGGCATGCACCCACACATCAAAGGAAGCATCTTCAAAAACTCAGTCCTTGCAAATTATTTGTATACGTTCATTAGCATGAATCACTACCATAGTCATTGGAGATAGTGTTTATTTCAGGACTATGCAATGTTCTATTTATTTTCTTGTTTTCTGTTCTAAGGAATGACCAAGCCAATCCTGACTGCTGAGAAAAAAGAAGTTTTAGAGGGTGAAGTTGTGAAATTACGCTGTGAGCTGCCAGAAGAAGTACCTCCTTTGTATTTCTTTTTCCGGAAGATAAAGATGAATTCAACACCTAAAGAAAAACATGTATTTGAACCATACAGAAATTTTTCTGTAGTGGAATTTTCTGTTGAAGAGGGAGATAATATTTTACAATTTGATTGTTATGGTAGGAGAAATGTAAAACTCAAATTTGAAAGCTCAGAACACAGCAACAAAACACTTGTTACAGTCAGGGGTAAGTTGCTTAGCTTTTCTTCTTACATTTCTTTGCTTGCTGTAATTAAAAAGTTGGGTCATGAGTTTATATGTATTCTCTTGCAGAACCATTTATAAAGCCTACTCTGAACACCAAGCCGTCCAGTAATATTACGGAAGGAGACAGAATACAGTTTGAATGCTCAACTGTGGTAGCCCGAATGCGTGGCATTGAAATCATACTTCAGAAAAACAAAACAATACTGAAGAGTGTACGAGATGAAAAACTTTTGAAATACTCTGCAATAGCTACTCTAGAGGACAGTGGTGAATACCTGTGTAAGGTGGAACAAGGAAGAGCATCCAAAACCACCAAACTGAATGTTGTTGTGTCAGGTAAGTCCTCTGTTCATCTTAGATTTTACTCAAAGGATTGATATTTAAATTTAAATTTGGTAGAACTTGAGATCCAAGTGTAACCTCTGGATCTAACTGTAAATTTTCGCTTTCTTAAAGGCTTTTTAGATTTAGATTTCGGTTTCTGATTTTTGTCTGCCACTAATACTTTCCAACTAAAATAATACTTTCAAATGACAAATATGAGAATTGGTTTCACGTGATTGCTAAATTTCTGTTATTAAAAAAATCATGATTGGTTTTTTTCCCTGATTGTAAATTTTCAGTATGTCCTTCATTCTGTGTACTTTGGGATAGGTAGTCATATGCTTTTAGGCTCAATTTGAATGAATTAATTCTCTTTTTATCTTGCAGAGTTATTCCCCAAGCCAGTATTATCTGCTTCTATGAGTACGGTGGATGAAAATAAAGAATTAACCTTGAGTTGCAGCATTAGTGGTTTTCGGAAAGCTAACTTCTCTATATTACGGAAAAATTCAAATGGAGACATCTGGTTGAAAAATTCTAGAAACTTAACAATGAGAGTTAATGTGAACGATACTGGATCCTATATCTGTAAAGCTGAAGTAAAAGGAATAGTCAAGGAGAGCAAACCTGTAAGGATAAAAGTTTATGGTAAGTTGATACAGAGGCTTAGAACCAAATGATGGGGGGAAAAAAATAAAACCATAAGCTTATAAATAAACACATCTGTTTACAGAATCAAGCACTTGTCCATGAACTATCTGGGTGCCTGTTAGTTGTTGCAATGTTATTTTCTGTGAGTGTGCTTGTCATCTTTAGCTGTAGAGGATTTGGCCTGTTGTGACCTAATCAAGTCAGACTTCTCTAGGGCTGGCCTAGCATGTCTTCCTTCTGTTCCCTTGATTCTGCTAGGTGCCAAATAAACTCTCATTCATTACTGTTCGCAGGAGCTGGGAATGTTCTGCAAACCTTTCACGCAGCAGTTTGATCTGAAACTCTGTCAGTGTCTGCCTTGAATCCCTCCCTCTGACCCTCCAGGCAGAAAGCTGTGAGACCCAGAGGTCATCAGGAGAGCTCTACTCCAGAAAGCCAAGTTTTTTGCTATCAATACAACCCCCTCACCAGCACACTAATTGTAAAAACCCTAGTTTACTTCCCTCTCATGCAACAAGCACAGTTGGTTCTCAACTCTGTAAAGGGGTATTGACTGGGTTGTGACTCACTGTGCTGCAGAAACGGAGGTCCCTGATTAGGTGCTGCAGGATCTGTCTCGGGTAATGCATGCACTGGTACTTGCGTATATTTTTGCTCTACAGACTTACTCCTTGGGTCAGAGCTAGTTCTGGAGTTTGGATGATCCACAGCTGTGTCACTGATCCTTTTTTTGTTTTTCCTTTACATTCTCCGTCTATGCCATTTTATTCTAAGGCACATGTGTTTTATTATCTATCTTTTTGTTTTGTTTAAGTCGTCCCCTGCTTCTATTCTATCAATGAGGAAGAGCTGCCCAATATAGGCTGTGTGTGCAAACTAGCTGAATATTGTGTACTTATATGTTTTCTATTAAATAATATTGTATCTTCCAGCCCTGTGTGGTGTAATTTGCAACAATTTTTCCTTTTTTTCCCCTTTTAGCTCCGGTATCCAAGCCAGCTCTTTCCGTTGCCAGTGGTTTACCGGAGGTGGTGTTAGGGAAGCCTCTACGGTTAATCTGTCGTTCAGTGATGGGAACACCACCAATAATATTCACATTCTACAAAGGAAATGAAGTTAAGAAAACAGTAATTAATGACACATATGCTACGTTCTTGGATGAAGATATTACACTAAATGACAAAAGTGGATACAAATGTGATGCTAGAAATAATCACTCCAGTGGAATAAAAACTAGCAATATCCTGAACATCACAGTAATAGGTAAGTCTGTTTAATTCTTCTCGTCTAATGTAATATTTTGATTTTTGAAGCTGTAGCTGCAAATGATGAACTAAGCAAAATGGATGTGAAATATTCACAAATTTTTGCTCACTTGAATCAAAAATAGTTGGAGATCTGTATTACCAACTATTTGTCACTGAAGTAAAAATCCTGATAGCAATCCGAATGAAGTTACCTCCAACTGAGTTTATTTTAATTTTAAAACCAAATCTGACTTGAAATCATATAGAAGGTGTTTTAGTAAAATTAATGATTAAAATTTTCAAGACCAGATCCCTTTTCTTCATGTTTGATTTTCATAGGACTGGGTGAAATGTATACATACTGGTACTGGAGTTAGTCTATGATTTTCCTCACTAAAATAATTGAGCTAGCTAGATTCCTGGTAAAAGATGTAAATCCACACTTTTAATAATCCCTCTAAATACCTGTGTTACTAGTTGCAGTTTTCAGAGGCACTGAGCATATGTTCCACACCAGAAGCTCTAGTTGCTAAGTAGCTCTGAAAGTCAGTCTATTATTATGCCTTATTAGCAATGAGGAGTTACTGTATATGAGCAAAGTCTCTGATCTACAAATACGTGTGAAGTAGAAAGGGAAAATTCCTTTGCCGATAAGGGAAGATGGTAGTTGAAGCTTTAAAAAGAAGATGAATTGGAAGTCCACGGGATAAAGCATGACGTCTGATATACGCTGGGAATCTTAGCAGTGCTCCAAGAAAGGGAATATAAGTGAAAAAGCTGTGATTTGCAAGTGTGCTATTGGCAGATATGAAGAGAAACCAAAGCAAAGAATTCTGTAGTAGGCCACTGGTGTCAGGACTGATAACTCTTAAAACATGTGCGTGTGGTTTTCTCTGTCATTACACATGTAAGGGAGCGTCTTGTCTCGGTAGGATTTTTTAACCAGTATACCGTGTTTCTGTAGATTTGGAGCAGTCAGAGCAGATGAGATTTCATGTGACAGTTCCTGGTTTAGATCCTCGTGGTTCAAAGGTTTGGCTCAAGAAAATTCTGTCCCCGATTTAGTTATTTTCTGTCCCTATCACAATCAGTTGCCTCTGTGCTCAAAGAACTTATTTATTAACAACAGGTTTTGCTATAAGCCTTAAGGAAGTTTCTTGGATATCCTGTACCCAAGATATGGATTGTACCTTGAATTTCACTTGAAAATCTAAGATAAATAATTGTAGAGAACAGAGTAGCTGTTTGAGGAGGCATACTGAAACCTTCTGCACTAGATGAAGGTCCCCAACAGTTGCAGGGTTCGCGTTGACAGATACTGTCTTTTGGTGTTCATCTTTAATAGTGAATGAGGTAAGCAGAAATAATAGTCTCCTACCCAAATGGAAATAAAGCATTGATTGTGGCTGCTGCTTCTGGAGGACGTGAGAATATTCTTAATCTACAGCAGGAACCAACTAATTGTAGGTATTGACCATTTATTAAAGGAAATAATAATTTGTCTTTAACATCTTTAAAATGTTTGTCTGCTCAGTAGTGTCACCTCTGTGTTACTTGGTTCAGAGTTGGTCAGTTTTGTCAGTCTGATGTTGTAAAAAAATTTGACTAGTTTGGTGGCGGTTCGGCAATATGTAGTAAAAAATAAGTAGAGCTGTGTATCTTATGCATGTTGTTGGCACCTGTGTTGATGTCATTTGACCAGACAGTAACCGCATACGGCTATTGAAAAACAAAAAAAGTAGAGTTCTTTGGGACTGTAAGTAAGTGAGTTGGTGATGGTGGATCCACTTGTAGAGCCATGTTAACCCATATACTTGGCTCCTTGCTACTTTTCTTGAATGTATCAGCAGTATTTTAGATTTACCTGATTATAGCAAAGTAGTCCAGAACAAGAGCAGAAGTCTATTCCTGACCCATTGAAGAGAGAATCTCTCTTTACCAAGGAGTTTTCAGTTTTGTGTCCTGGCTTGAACCCAAACTGTGCTGGTGTTAATAAGATAAGCTTGTGGTTAACACACTAGTTTCTCTCTGAGTTTTGGCATTGAGTTGTACATGACTAGAACAAGTATGTCCAGAATTGTTGCGTTTCTTCTGAGTCAGTTGGATTGGTGCACAGCTGAAGGATGTGCTCTCCACATTCTGAGCCCCGAAACAGGTCTTTTAATACAATATTTGCATTTGCCTAGACTGTAGAAGTAGGACTGCACCTTAAGTTCATCAGTTCCATCAGATTGTGCTTTGCTAACTATAGAGAGAAGCTGAATGATAAAACTGAGGAGATTTATCCAGTGAGATTTTAAAGTCAAGGTAATTTGAAATAACAAGTCACAAATAAACAAATACAAAGCATAATCTTAGTCCGTTAACAGGTGGGTATTTCTGTGCTGGAACTAGTGTGTCCCAGCTGTTAGAGCAGTGGCTCAGGATATATTTCGGCACTGTTTGGAAGTTCTGAATAGAAAGTCACAGTTTTCAGCCTGGTGACCCAGTCTTCTGCAGTCCACCACTCCTGAGGTGTCAGCTTCAAATTCTCTGTATTCTGTCCTTACTGTCTGTACCAGATCTGAAAAAAGACTTATGTTTTGTGGAGCAATCCTCTCTCTCATGGGGTCTGTCATAGTAACCCACTTATATCTAAATCTGCTTCCTCCTTCCTATCTAATACAAATACAGCTTTCATGACTAGTGTCTTTTCGTATCAGATTTGGTTTCCTCCTTCTGCTTCTGTACAAATGTTGCCTTAATGACTTCTCCTTTACATCTGCCTTGTATTATCCATGACCCTGCCCCAAACACATTTATAATATTTCCAGAGAAATTTTGTTCAGCGATTTTAGCTAAACAGATGCTTCATATCCCAGACATTTTGTGAAGTTACTAACATTCTATGTGTCTTGCACCACAGAATGTACATACATTTTTCTCCATGTAATTATAAGCGCTGATGCTCATCTACTCCTATGCTAGCTCTGTGTATGCTAATATACTTAATTTGTTGAACAGCAAACCTAAAGACTGTATTTTGGCTATGCATATTCTTACAACCTGTTTAAATGCAAACTAATTTCTCTCATTGTTTGCTATATTCTGTAACCATTAGTATTTGGGACTTGCTTCTGCTGTTGAAAAATTTGATCCATTATCTGCTGATAGTTAGCATAAAATAGCATAACTCAACATAGCTATGAAAGCATAGCTACATAAACTGAACTATAATTATTACCACTATTGAACTGCTGGGTGTATTATTTTTGAAAATTAAATAATTTGTAGGTTGGTGTCTGTGGGGCATCCAAAGGAGTTTAAAGAACAAGGTTGACTGACTTCTGTGGAATCGATATAGTTTCCTTCTGTGTCTGCTTTCTTTGTTTATAGTGCCCTCTCTGTTTTTGGGTGTATAAAAATATTTACTAGAGGATGCTGTCTGGCAGAGACTGTTCAAAAAGATTAATACTGTGCATTCAGTCTCTGTTTAACTAAGGAAAATGGTATTATAGCAAGTATTTCTACAGTACAATATTTTATCATCAAAGTTATTTCTAATAGTGCTGATATTTGTTTTCTTTATGCCTTTCTCGCAGTGAGACTGCTTTTCTGTGCTCTGTGAAAGAAGGATCTTGGCCAATCCACTTCAGGATTTTTAGAAAAACTGATCATGAAGTTCTTTTATTTGAAAAAAGTGAAAATGCAGACAGAATCATGTGGCGCAAGGAAGCAATGAACAGGCAGGACACTGGGACATATTACTGCATGGCTTCTAATCGAGCTAATGTGGATGTGAAAAGCCATCCAATAACCATCAGTGGTAAGCTAACTTTTATGATAAGCTGCATACTATGTCATCATGACAGGTGAGGTCATGTTATCTGGGATGTTGCTAAGTACAACTCCCTTACTTGTTTTTGTTCCACCATTGTCGGAATTTAAACAGGGAGCTCCATTTATAAACACAGATTCTCTAACTTACATAGAACAGTTTAAGGGGTGCTCAAAAGCCAAAGGAGCCAGGTGCAAGTTAAAAGCAACCCACTGTTGTACTGAGTTTGCATTGACAAGGGAGAAGCAGTGAATTCTGCATGCAAGTCTCCTTACAGTTCTACTCCAGTGTGTAAGAAGGCCAATTTGTAGTAAAAGGAAAGCTCAGGAACTGCAGAAGTGGGCAATGATGACCTGTCACAGTACATACTCTCTTAAACATGTCTTTCTTATTTCCAGTTATCTTAGCGGCTTGGCAGAAAGGCGTCATTGCTGCGTTTGTCCTAATACTTATCGCAGGAGCAGTAACTCTCACTTTATGGTGGTTTTTGTATAAGAAGAAAAAGGGTAATGAATGGTTCCCTTCTATTTCTTTGGTGATGAATATATTACAGTTTAAAACTTGCATTTATTTCAGGAGCAAAGGCTTGTCGGGGTGAGGCTTCAGGAGGTGACTAAATGCAATTTGAAAAACGTAAAAATCTACTTTAAAATGTTGGGTGGCCCAAATTAAGCTGCAAGTGTGCTGAAGCTTTCCAGATATATTGGGCAGAATGGGAGCATGTAACTAATGGTGCTGGGAAGGCACTAGTGAAGCAAACAGCATTGGAGATAGGCCAGAATTGCACAGTTCTGATGCAGTCCTAGGTCTGGAATTCAGTCTTGTGCAATATAGAGGCAGACAGGGCCTGAGTTTTTTGATTCCTATGACAATTTGATTTGGGGTCCCAACTCAGGTGTAATCAAGGTACTTCTCTAGTCCTCGTGAAACAAATTTAAGATTGTTAGGTTGTGGGTTTGTTTGGGTTTTTTTTCTACCCACACTGTAATACAATTTCTCTTTGGGATTTGTTTTTTATTATTGAGGTATTCTTTCAGATCTTGTTCTTTCAGAAGATAAGTAAATCTGGTTAAATGAAAATCCTATGATATATGCAGTACATTGCAAAATAATTTTAAAGTATCTGGGTATCCCAGACTGCTTAAATTGGCCATGCTAAAGTCTGGCGTTTGGGATCTTAGGTTCTCTGTGAAAGAGACATTTAAGGGAACTGGGAGGATGTAAGACACTATGTAATTAATTTTGTGATAGCCATGAAAAATTATTCTGACTTGGGTAGATAATCACTAACTAATGTTTTGATTTTTACTTTTAAATTCTTTTACTTGTGCAATCTACTAATAGATGCTTTTATCCTTCTCTGTCAAGCTAAAGGACCATCCATGGAGATGTCTGGGTAAGATCACTTGCTTTATGGTATTGGTGAAGTATTTCTGTTTAAAGGGCTGGAGGCCTTCCACCATATGAATATAGTTTATTATGGCACACACCTGCAGACAATAGATGGTTGTGCTTCATGCACCACCTGCTAACACAACAACAGGATAAGGAAATACTCTAAAAATAGAAAAAAAAAGGCCAGCTAAGAGAAACAGAAGAATGTCAGGCCTACATTTGAATGGATTTAGTTACATATGAAATTAAAAACACAGACATCTTAAAGAAGAGTAATGCAAGAGGGACCATTTTTGAACTTAAAGTTTGCTTTTTCTTCTCTTAAAGACAAAGACAAAATTTCCATTAGCTTCAATAGCTAAGAACATGTGGTAGTCAACATAGACAATGATTGATCTTAGCATATTGTTGCATTGTTGTTTTTATTGATTGGTTTTGGATAATTATATCAACTTGTATTGGATTGCTTTTCAGTTCTGCATTGGCTACAAACCTGACAAGTGAAAAACTGGCAAGACAACATAATGATGGAGATTTCTATTCAGGTAGGATATTTTGCTGTAAGACTATTAGTGAGTTGGTTTACATAAACATTTGTTGAGAGTTTTGGACTTACTTTGTTGTCGTTTGGTTAGGGCCCAGTGTTTTGGGGATGCAGAGGAATACCAGTAACATTATCCCAAGTATCTTCTATCATTTTGTCTTTGTACAGTTTTTTATGAGCACGTCTTATACAAAGATTGGTTTCTAAGTCTGCTCAGACACTTCTACCAGGCAATCAGTTAACAGTGTTGCAGATGGAGAAATCATGGTAAAAGAAAAGTACGTTCTGTTTCTGACAGTTTTGACACAGCTGCAAGAAAGTTATTTCAGAGAGGCAATTTGAGTTGTGGCACATGGTCCTGTGATCTGGCCACAGGATATCGATGTTAACTTGCCATGACTAAGCACCTTTCATTCCAGGATGTTAATGCACTTTACAAAGATATGTAGAAATGTTGATTAGAGCACCTGATATAATGAAGTTACCCCTTGTGTGTTTTTTGGTTGATCATTTAAGAAACGCACGTTCTTCTCACCTGTGTTATATGGCTGTCTTAAGTGTGAATCTAACAGTAGAATTTCTCATATGTAAATAAACAATGACAATAGGGGTTGCAGCTGTGTAACTCATTTATTTGATTTGCTATAATAAATATTTTGTCAGCTCACCTTTTGCTTGAATATTTTAGGGTCAGGTTACATTGAAGATAATGAAAATCACATGAAAACAACAGATGAGAGTAAAGGTAATTTCATACTTTAACAACAGATTTTAAAATTATGAATGAAAGTTGTGATGTTTTCTAATGGTAGCAATCAGGATTTGATAGGTCCATTCCTTTCCTTTTTCTCTTTGATAGTGGGAAATACTCTTTCCTTTGCTGAGCTTAGTTCTTTTTCCTTATGTGTACAATGACAATGATAGGACCCATTTACCACCTGCATTATGAAGTATAATTAGTTGTGCTGGATTCCAGGCCAGCTAATGAAGGATGGTATAAAAATACAACTCGTATTCAACATTTTAAAGTCTATACAACAATATTCAGAACTTTTTAAAAAATATATTTTCTACAGACTTCTGCTGCTTTTACTTCTCTGTCCTTTCCTCACTTCTGAAGATCTTGAAATACTTATGCATTAAACGTAAAAATAATCTGCTACAAAATCTGAATAAAATAACCTGCCAAATATCTCAAGGCACCATGTGGGGTCTATATATGTATATACATATATTTATTAAAACGTGTCATCAAGTACTGCATCATCTAGCATACTTTGTCCTATATATTTTTGTTTTATATTGATGTGAAAGTATTCTCATGGGTTAGATGAAATTTCTGATGGTTTATAGTACATTTTGACTTGGTTGTCTGTTGGACTACGAGTTGAAAGATAGTTAGAAAGGCATCTAGTGTAACTAATGATCAAAGTTAAGCTAAAATTAATCCAGAGCATGGAACGAGACTCCTGCATAAGCCTGTATGCAACACAGGTGGCAGGAATTGCTAATCAATAATTCTTTGATGCAATTCTGAGTGTGCATGGTAGCATTGTACCACAAAACTAAGAGAAAGCTGCTGCACTAAGTTAATTTCACAGGAAAACTTGGTAACAGCCTTTGGGAACTCTAGCTCAATGACTCAATTTTTCCTCCACTTTATGCTACCTGTTTCAGATGAAAAGGGCTCTGGTCTAGCAATTTGCATGTGTGCCAGAAGTGAATGGTTTCAGTCCTTACTGCAGATTGGGCAGCTTCATTAGGAACAACTAGGCTATGAAAGAGCTCTCTACCAGATGTGAAAAACAAGTCTATTATTCATCTACCTCTAAAAATAACAGTAGCTGTTCTGCATTTGTGTGGCAACAGCTTTTACTGCAGCAAGTAAGAGGAAGGAGCTTATAGCTGGTGCATGGAAGTTACTCCATTGTGGCCTGAATAAGTCAAATTAGAACTAGAGAGACGTTCTCATGCAAAACAAACATACAGACAGCAGAAACATAGGAGCATAAGGCTGTATTGATCATTCAGAATCACTGCTCTTGTAATAAGCATGTCATTTAAACTTTGTTATTAACTAATATGCCACCTTAAACACTGTTTTTGTTTTGTGCAAATTTTTTTTTTTTCCCTTCTCTCACCAATGTTGTTGGAAGGCTGCTCCAAAACTTTGCTGTTCTAATATTAGCTCTTTCTATAATTTGTGTTCTAAAAAATCCACAAGCAGTTCTGCAGGATTCCAGTCTGGGTGACTGTTGTGGTTCCTTCCAACTTTTACAGAAATCTAGTAGGAAACCACCTCCACCCTAAGGACAGTGTAGAAAGCAACAGCTGTTTCTTCTGTCTGTTTTATCCAGATAGCCAGTACTTCTCAACCAGTAGCCTTAGCAAATCACATGTCTAATTGTTGACAGGCTTTCTGTGGGCATTGTGGCAGAGAAGCATTTTGAGGACGAAGATGGGTTGCCATTGCTGATGTTCTATGGAGAGCTTGAAGGGCAACATAAAAGTGCTGAGATTGCTTATTGGCAAAACAGAAATTGAGAGCATGAGAGGTGATGAGGGAGGCCATGAAAGACTTAGAGAAGGCTTTAAATGTGACGAAAGTGGTCAATGGGAAGTGTCCTGCCATAGCAGCCTTAGAAAAGGAAGAAAAAGTGACAGCAGTGAGAGAACTATAAGAGAGAGGAGCTGGAGTAGGAATAAGAGAGAATCTGAGATAATTCCCTGCTTCATTTGTGTTGTGCCACTTTTGCAGGTGTTAAATTGAAAGTAAGAGTTTTAGGCACAATTTGCACATCCCACCATTTCAGAAATCTGGCTTAAGTTGGTCTAGTGCCTTCCAGTTTGGAATGCTTAGGAATGGGTTGGCCTTACAACTCTTAGCAGAGTAACTTATATCTGCCATAAGTAGGGCCTGATCCTGCACCTATCAAAGTCAATGAGGACTTGTCCATTAATTTCAGTGGCAGCAGGATCAGGCCCACAGCTCAAATGAAGCATGCAGTCCTACAAAGAAACCTCTTCTTGATATTTTTGGGGCAGGACCTGAGCTTGAGAGTGCTGAGGTGGAGTACACTGAAGTTGAAGTATCAACGCTTGATCCTCACAGAGGTAATAAACTGTCTGGCCACTGTGGTTATGCTTTGGGAACAGGTTGGAACAGGTTGCTGTTGAGCATGTTGTTACTCCCTGACACTGGTCTGATATTGGCACCTGTGAATGTAAGAGCAGGTTGTATTTTGTGTGCATGACAGTTTCATGCCAGTAGCGCTCCTTAATCTAAATGATGCTGCAGCAACCATGCTGTTCATTGCAGCCCTTCTTCCCCTGGGATCCTCCCATGTATTTGCCCTTCCCATCCACATGAGGTCTGTGCAGAGCAGGGCTCCCAGCTGGAGCTGTGGCTCTGAGCAGAGGGGCAGCCTGCTGTGAATCTTGATGTTACAGAGTCCAAACTCACTGAGAGCCATTTAAGGTAGGATCCACAGGGTAGGATAATGGAGAGAATAGAAAGCAGTAGAATTGCCTCCTTTATAAAGAAACTGGTTGAAGGGTCAAAGCTGTAATTCATTTGTAGTAGAGAAGGAAGAGAGACCAGAGTAGATACAGTCTCTTGGTCTGAAGAGGCCTGGAGATGATCCTAGATTTTGTGGCACATGAAACAGAGAAATGAGAGTATTGATGCCCAGATAACTTTGGCCTCCTACCTGTAGTTCTGTGGTAACAGTAACCAGACCTCGTAGCATGAGGCTAAGGTACATGTCTCTGCATCTTTGAAGGAGAAATATCCAATGAAATGTATTCTCAACACCCAAATGCACACTTCAACCATTCTGTGTCATCTGGAGAAGTGTGATACCATTATGCCCTTGTTGGAAGCTGTTAAATCTTTCAGAAATTTACAAAAAGTTTCAAGTAGTGAAAAGTGAATAAAACCCAAAAGAGATGTTTATGCTGTGCTTTAGCTTCTTTGCTTTAGCTGAATGAGAAGCAGACTGAGGAAGAAATGGATAAATTTGCTTTTTCCTGGTAGGAAGGACCACTCACTTGTTTCAGAGATCAAAGACACAATTGTTTAGTTAGTAATACAGATGTTTGGGCAAAAGTGCTCACTCTTCAAGCTTGGCAGCAAAGCTCTCCCAGAACAGCCAGTCCTCCTATTCTTTCTCTGTTTTCAGTTGCTGGTATTGTTCATCACAGTTTTCCCTGTGTTCTAAGCATGCTATTTATCTACTTCTGCTAAATTCTGCACTGAGATATCATGGTGGTTGTATTCTTTTTCAGAATAGGGGCTAATACTTAATTGTTCCAATGGTTTCTGAGCATGCATTATGCAATACAATGGTGTAGAATGATAAAGATATGCTAATGCATTATTATTTAAATTGAAAGCCCTATTAAATGCAAGATCGGCATCTCTACAAATAGCCTTTTCATCCTATTCCTGATATATAACACTATTCCAGTATACCAGACTGAGTAATAAGATAGTGTCATGCTATGTAGACAGAATGCCATTAAACTGAAAACTGCAAAATAATGTTTAAAAGATAGTGTGTAAATGAGATCAGATTATTTTAACAGAATACTGTCTCATATTACAGACCTATGTATGACATAGAGAATATTAATTGAGTCTGTAAGGCTGAACTGTACTTCAACTATATTGAGATATGGTAGCTCCCTAATCTATTTCTTTTGCTGTACCCAGGACACAAGTGAATACTTAGCAAATGCACGCTTTGGTTACATAAATGGCAACTGCACTGCAAGTATTTAATGTGTTAAGCTTTCAGGGCATCTTGAGGATGCTGTTTAAATGGGAGGAGTTGTATGAAACCAGGTTTCAAGATTAATTCTTGCAACTCTGCACTGCCTATCACAGTGAGAACAGAGGAGATTTATTCTTGGGAAAAGAGAAGCAAAGCTGAGTTTCTTTATGTACCTTTGTAATAATCAGGCACACACACAAAAAGAATTCAGCCGTAGGACTGCCACCGATAATTCTGCCACATTACTGTTATTTTACAAGTTTTGTTTCAAATCATAAAATTCTTTCATGTCTGCCATGTGGGTTATGACAAGTCCTTCTTAAGGAAAAGACCTTTCAGGTTATCGTTTAATTCCAAATCGCTATCTCATCTCTTTTGATTCCACCTATTTTCTGAATAAAGACAAAGTGTATCACGCTTACCGTTTCTCTGGGCATGCATATCTCATCCAGCAGGCTGCATGTAGATTCCTTTTGCCTTTTGAGGAACTCCAAATTTCTTTGATCTCTCAGGATCAACTTCAAATTAATTTATCATCCCAATCATTTGTTCCTCCTACTGCTGTTGTCAATGTCAATACTAATGTTCATCTCGGGAGCAGGAGAATCACATTTTGTGTATTGTGAAAGACTACTGCAATAAATGCTGCATTATCTATCCTGTAACAGTAGCCTTTGTGTCACTTTTCGGGATCAGGAATGATTGAATGCCACTTCAAAACTAGTTTATAATTGTAGAAGGATGTACATTTTGTCTTTGACAGTAAAGAACTATTTATATTTGAAAACAGTGGTTTCAGCCTGTTTTTCCAGCCATGTCTGCACTAGCTGGTAATTTCTAAAATACTTTTTAACACAGTAGACTCCCCGAGGAGTCCTGTATTCAGCTCTGGAGCCCTCAGCACAGGGAAGACATGGACATGTTGGAGTGGGTCCAGAGGAGGCTGCAACAACGATCAAGGGCTGGAACACCTCTCCTGTGAGGAAAGGCTGAGAGAGTTGGGGCTGCTCAGCCTGGAGAAGAGAAGGCTCGGAGGAGACCTTATTGTGGCCTTCCAGTGCTTAAAGGGGGATTATAAGAAAGATGGGGACAAGCTTTTTAGCAGGGCCTGTTGCGATAGGACAAGGGGTAATGGTTTTAAGCTAAAAGAGGGTAGATTTAGACTAGGTATAAGGAGGACATTTTTTACAATGAGGGTGGTGGAACCCTTGTACAGGTTGCCCAGAGAGGTGGGTTGATGCCCCATACCTGGAAACATTCAAGGTCAGGTTGGATGGGGCTCTGAGCAACCTGATCCAGTTGGAGATGTCCCTGCTCATTGCAGGGCGGTTGGACTAGATGGCTTTTATAGGTCCCTTCCAAACCAAACTATTCTATGTTTTGATGAATAGGCTAGTGCATCAAGAACTTTGTGTGTACTATACTTCCGTGTGAGGAGCAAAAAACAGGGTTCATTACAGCGTTACTGGTAATGGTAAGCTTGCTAGAAGTTTCACTGCTTTATTTTAAAATTTCCATGTGGGAATAACTTGATACCTACTATTTGAAGTAGGGGTGAAGAGGCTAGGCAAATAAGAGGTAGAGCTGGGGCTACACAGCCCAGCTCTTATTTGGGGTAGTCATAGTGGAATGTTAATCTGATATTTAAAGAGGTGGTAATTCTAGAGAATGATTGAATTGAATACTTACGGAGATTGTAAGCTTGACAAAAATATAAAATCATAGAATCATAGAATCATAGAAAGTTTTGGGTTGGAAGGGACCCCTAGAGGTCATCTAGTCCCACCCCCACACAGTGAGCAGGGACACCACTAACTAGATCAGGTTGCTCAGAGCCCCATCCAACCTGACCTTGAATGGGATGGGGCCTCCACCACCTCTCTGGGCAACCTGTTCCAGTGTTTCACAACCCTCATTGTAAAGAATTTCTTCCTTATATCCAGCCTAAACCTACCCTGTTTTAGTTTAAAACCATTACCCCTCGTCCTGTCACTGCTGTCTCTACTAAAAAGATTGTCCCCATCTTTCCTATAGGCTCCCTTGAAGTACTGAAAGGCTGCAATCAGGTCTCCCCGCAGCCTTCTCTTCTCCAGGCTGAACAAGCCCAACTCTCTCAGCCTGTCCTCATAGGAGAGGTGCTCCAGCCCTCGGATCATTTTTGTAGCCCTCCTTTGGACCCGCTCCAACAGTTCCATGTCCTTCTTGTGCTGAGGGCTCCAGAGCTGAAGGCAGTACTCCAGGTGAGGTGTCACCAGAGCAGAGTAGAGGGGCAGAATCACCTCTCTCGACCTGCTGGCCACGCTTCTCCTGATGCAGCCCAGGACAC